AGCCCCACAGACTAAATAATGCATCACCACTGGGCCAGAAACTCTTAATGAAGCTCTGGCTGTGCCATGACCTGTTTCAGGATTAGCTTGCTTCACAAAGGATGACATGAAAATTTCAGTCATGTTCACTGAATATCCGCTGGTCTCTCCCTTCTTACCTATCTTGAAGGCAGCTACGTTTGGAGCAGGGAGATTAAACCCTGCTCCCAACAGGGAGCCATGGCATTTCACACCTGCCCTACCTGAAGCCAGCTCCATGCACAGCACACAAACTTGAGACATAGAAACCAGCGTGAACTTTGCAGAGTGAATCAGTGCAACTTTGCAGAGGAAAAAGAGGCTATAGGTACACCAAAAGATGCTGGTGGCCTGATGCCACCAGACAGCATATGAGGCTGAAATGCAAGGACGTAGGGAAAAATAACATACAGCCCTCTGGTAATTCAAACAGCACCGAAAGAACAGTGCGAGATCGAAGGCAGCTTGCAACCGAGCTGAGAGGTTTTACTCTTCTCAGCTCCAAGCTCAGGGTTGTAGCTGATCTGTTTTGCAGTTGCCTCTAGGAAAAAGCTGAAAAGTGATTTATTTCTGTTGTTTGTTTTTCAACTCAACACACAGGCTACGACAAACCAATCTCTTCAGGCATAGCAGCCACAAGAGAAAAAAATGCTTGGGGATTTTTGAGCGCTGCCATGGAAACCTAATTTCTTGGTTAATAAACAACAAAAGAAGAAGAAATATATGTAAAAATACCTTCGGTAACATTCTAGATTCTTAAGAAGAAAGAGTCAGTCATGATTTTGAGTATGGGTTAATGCCCAGGCCAGCGTTATATAGCATCAGATAATTTAGTGGGCTCCACTGCCAGAGGATGGGAATTCCAGGGGAGCCATCAAGGCCTGGTAAAATGGCAGCAGGGACTCAGAGCTGACACATGCAAGTGTTTGCACTTTGGAAGAAAATCTGAACTACTCCCCACTGCCTAATTAGCTGATGTGCTGCAGTCATGGCTATCACATTGATCATAAATACCTCCCTGCTAGCTTGGGCTTCTCTTGTCTGTTATGTCGCCTGTTGTCTCTTTGTCTTCATCTGAGATTGAAAGTTCCCTTGGGATGGAGGCTGTCTTTTTAGCTACTGCAATCCAAATAATTAGGACTGTTCCTGGGTACAAAATTAGGTGACAGCAGAAGGAAGAAAAATAAAATAAAACAAAATAATGTTTTTATTCCAGTTATCTTACAAGAAAAGCTGCTCATCCTACACTGGCTAAAACAGATGAAAACATTTTCGATATTGCCATGACTCGAAATACTTATCCAGAATGTCATGTTGATGTAACCATCTCAGAAATGTACAGCTAAAATAGGAGACAGAATTAGCAACAAGCAAGGAAATCTTCACAAGGCTCTTCCTTTGCTTGTAAAAAGCTGTGAAATCTAGAAGACCCACAGAATAAGAAAAGGAGCTCAACAGATTCCTGTTTATTCACACCCATAGCACGAGAAGGAAACAACTGGATAGCAACAAGATTAACTAATGAAAGGACTTTCTGCCTAGCATACAGCCTACAGAGCACCCCATATATTATATCTGAGTACAGCACACGTCTGAAACCAAGACTCATTTATCACAGTCACAGTTCCTGTGTTCATCTGAAAGTGTTATGAACACATACATTTGAAGAAATAAACCACTGAACAGACTTTTTCCCCTTCTCTTCTCCTCCTAATAAAATTTGCCTGAGATTTCCCACAGAAAAACAGGCACAAAACTTCAACCTTCAGCCCTTGGTTGTGGGTGGCATCTTTTAGACACCGTATTTTGCATCTCTAACCCTCTCATTTGTCCTCTGCTTGACAGGTGCCTTCCCATGAAGCAGCAGCCTCTCTTTGCAGCAGCAGTTCATATTTTATGACAGATCACTGCTGCGTGCTCACAGCTCACCATGGAAGTTGAAGTTTGGTGCAGGGACCTTGGTCTACAGAGGGTTTGGGAACTAAATGCTCCCCAGCAGCACTTCAAATCCAAATCATTCGAGTTTATGGATTAAGAGGGAAGACTGTTTTCCTTTTTTTTTTCTCCCCACAAAATTTTCTCAATCGCACGCAGAATTCTACAGAAGCCATAGGTCTATCTTTTAACCCAAATTTTATTTAAAAGCAGGTAGGATGGCAGCTGGATTCCCAACAAACAGCCACCTAGCAAGATCCCTTGCTAGGCAATGAGAACTGATAAAGCATTATATGCCTGAAAAGCTTACCTAATTTTTACAGCTCTATGTCCTGACCTATGAGAAGACTTACCCCACAAATTCTGATGCCTCACACCATCACAACACAATCGCAACAAGGCAGATCCCTTTTACGGGAGGAAAACAATCACCTCCATTCACCTGGTGGGGAAAACAAAAATGCAACCCCCAACTGACAGACACCTCTTGTGACCAAGAAGAGGAGCAACATTCACATGGGGGAGGGATGTGTGTGTTTTTCCCTCAAGCTGGCTGCTGCAGTAGCAATGGAGGCTTTTTCAGTGATATTTTTGGCCTCAGAAATATGGATTTACTTATTAAAGCAGTCTGTGCTGCTGCATTCAAATGCTGACTAGCATTTCCTCTGTCTAAATTCTTATCAGCCTGATAGAGGAGCAGCTTCCGACGTAACTTTTCATTCTCTCTTGCTCCTTTTTTAATTACATTCAGGATGTTTTCATATTGATTCACTCGTCTTTGTATTTAAATGCAGGTATTAGAAATTTTTCTTATATAGCACTTTGCATCAAAGCATCTCATGCTACAACCCGGGGGGGAGACTGAGCAAAAGCTTTTGATGCATGAGGCAGGCAGAGGCAAGATGATATTTGAAGATTGCATTCCACTCTGCTCTATCTTATCGTCCTCTGAAGCACTGCTGTGTGATTCACTGCTCTCTGCCACAAAAAACCGCTTCTCTCATGTGGAAGCAACTGTTTGCCAAGCGCTCAGAAGAGGCACCGCACAGCACTGCTGCTCAGACGGACAGAGCTCTGAGTTAGCAGACAACACAAGCCACAGTCCCAGAAAACAGGTAGAAAAGGTGGAAATCTCCTTCTGATGTTTAATTGATATTTGCATTCAATTTGTGACCCACCCAGTTCCTGGGGCTCAAAGATGATTTTGAAGGAGTCTATAAAAAAGTAACCAAGGAAAGCAAATATATGACCAGAAGACGTAATTTCGCTCTGCAAAGACAGATCTTCCTTATGAAATTTTCAGGGTCTCAAAAATTGAGAGAAAATATTGAAAAGTACCTATTTAAATAATGCAGAGATTCAGAGGCTTTCATGTATAAATGGAACAGAATATTCTGCGAAAAGGAATCTCTCTTGGCTTATTTCTTTCGCATTGTATCTATTTGTATTGCTACAACATCTTTTCAAAAAAGAAAACCAAAGCTGTTCTCTTAAAAAAAAAAAAAAAAAAAACAAAAAAAAAAAAACACTTCCCTCTAAACTGCAGAATGGTTTAATCCTCAGTTTTCCAGGTGGGAAACTCAGGTTTAGAGCCCAAGAGCTCTACCTGCTAGCTTTTAACTTGACCTTTCCTCCCAAACCTTGGAAGAGAACCCAGCTCGAGCCTCCAGACCCCCCAACAGCCCCTCTTTCACCGCAGAAGAGAGGCAGAAGCGTCCCAAAACAGACTGAAACACACAGAACAGGGCATCTCCCCAGATGCCCAAGCAGCTGATACATTCAGTTGGACAGATGAGCTGTGTTTCTGTCACTCTGGGAAAGCTCCAAGAGCGCTGCTGCTGTCACCTTCCTGCAGAGCTCAGGTGCTGCTCTGAGATCAGCATTAGGACAGGATTTGCCTGCTTGTTACATTATTTATGCAGAGCAGATTGCTCAGCAATTACATTTAAAGTACAATCACAGTGCCATTTGTACTTGTTAGGTAAAGAGGCAAAAGTTTTCAAGGCTTAAATACCTTGAAAAGTACCGGGATAAGTGGAAATGACGGTGTTCTCTCATATTAGCTGCACGGTTATTTATACTTTTGCAGATTACCATGGTACGGTGCAATTAGGCTTTGGATTTACTGTGCAAATTGAGAAGTTTCAAGAGCTCTACTAAACAATTAACCCTTTAATGCATTAATCGGGATAACCCCACAACTCAATCCCAAAATCTGGTCCAAACAAGAGCTTCTAAACCAACGTGGAAGAAAGGGCAAGAGACCACCTGCAAGAAGCTGCTTAGACTCGAAGCAACAGCTACAGTGCACTGACAGCACCACCAATTACAGTTTCTGGAGGTTGAGCAATAACAGTAATACAAAAGGTAAATCTAACACAAAGCACTGGGGTCTTCCCCACCCTATGCCCTTTTTCTTGTTGCTGTTCTGACAGTAAAAAACACCTAAGTAACAATCCCCCAGGAATTGGTCTGCTTGTTCATAAGGGTGTTCTGTGTGTTTTGTTTTGTTTTTTAAACACATCTATACCAACCCATCGTTGTGATCTCTAACCCTTGGATCGCTACTTTCCTCACAGCCTCAGGCAACACTCAATCACTGCCAAGTTGACCATTTCAGCTCACAGGGCTGAGGAACGTGGCTAAGACCAGCCAAGCTCATACCAGGCACAGGGTCATACACCATCTTGGATGCTGTTCCAGCAAGCATTTACCATCTACAGAGACCATTCTCGTTGACAGCACCATGGCAGAGGCTTTGAGGAATGAAGAGCCTTGTTTAAGGATGCTCAAAAAGGAGAGAACAAAAGCTCCTCTGTGTGTCTATGGAAATGCCCTACATCAACAAAGCATCTGATTTGCAGACCTCACTTTGTTAAATCAATTCTTTCTTAATCATGCATCCCCTTTCAACTTCAGTTATCTCAGATCCCCTCCCATCTCCTCCCCAGATCAACTCTGACCCCCCCTTGCTCAGCCTCCAGTTTTACAAGAGACACCGTGCACCCCCTCCGTGCCACTTGCTGTAATTCCTACAGCCTGCTTACCTCCACAGCGAGCTCTCAGTAACACTCCCCAGGTTGAAGTCGTAGAGCTTTGTCAGAATGAGAATCACCTGTGGAAGGGGAAGGGAGGAAGGAGGAGAAAGGGGAAAAGAAAAAAAAAGGATTTTCTTTAGACTATGTAACAATATACAAGGCATCTGAAATCACCCAAAGGAGAGCTTAGCGTTTATCCATTAAAGTTCCCGTATTATAGGATCAAGTAAGTTTTAAAAAAGAAAATCATTAGCTTAATGCATCATGTAACCAGTAACATTTATTTTAATCCTGGAGATGTTTTACATTTGAAATACAACATGCCACCAGGAATTAACCGAACATTGCGAGCTGCCCTCTCTACACCTATGGTTATTCAAGGGCAGGAATGGAATTGGGACGAACCCTTGGTAATTCAACAGCCAAATCAGAAATTACACTCAACGTTTTCCTGTTTCTCTCAAGGTGCTAACATGAACTAGTCTCCATGGAAAGAAATGATAAATTTGGTTATGAAGATCCCAATCCAGCAAAAGAGCCCATTTTGCCCCAAACGGGTTTTGTTGCAACAAGGAGCCTTTCTATTGCAAAAGCCCCATCTCCCTCCCTCCTCCTCCTCCCACGGCAATGGGACCTGCCACACCTTTCATTTGGGTTTCTCAGCTGAGAGGCTGCTAGGTGAGGAGTTTAAAGCTTTGCAGAACGGAAAAATGCCAAAGGATTAATCAATATCAGAGGCTGCAGCAGTCTGTTACCGTCAGCATAATACCGGGAAGAGACCTGTTCAAATCATAAGGACCTTGGTACGTGACTATGCAATCGGTGCCCAACTTAATGGCTTTTGAAAAGATGCTCTGAGCATCCCTTTTGCTACTGGATTCACTTCCCCCTTCCCCGATTGCATTTTTCCCTTTATTTCCCTATGCAGAGACCTTTAGGAGGAAGATAAAAGCAAAGCTGCTTCCAAGCAGGGTGTGAAAAGAAACCTGCCAGGCAGATTTGAGTCAGCATATGCAAGCCCATGTCAGCCTAAACTGCTGCTGTGCAGCAGGGAAATAAGGACAAGGCCCTTTTTATTGAGACTTAAACCTCGCACACACCTTCCCATACAAATCGGGAAGAACCAGCTGCCACTCACAGCAGCCAAGGATCGTACAAGGATCCCATCAACTGATGGGAGCAGCCTGTGCTGCTCCTAGCTAAAACCTGCCAAGGGACATTTATAGATGTGCCCCATATTTCCAGAGACACTCCAATAGGATATCTCATGAATGGAAATTTGGAAACCATGCACCCCAGCATAAGCAGTGCCTTGCCAGAAACGACTCCCTCTTTAGTGCTCACAACTGAGGCAAGGTTTCACAGAGGTAGTTTTCGAGTTTCAACCCGGAGGAGGACTCCCACTGAGGTCAGCAGATCCTGGATCCAGTCCTAAATGTATTACACAAAGCCTCTATATCATGATCAAACTTCAGCAGAATAACTCTTGCTTAATTTGCAATCCCGACTGGAGGCAGCATCCATAACCTGCCAGCACTGTGTGTGCCCCTCATCAGATCTCTTATGCCTTGTATTTTTGGAGATACAAACCCTACAAATTGCAGGAAAATGGCAGCTTTGCAGGAGTGGGGTGAAACCTGCTCAGCCTCTGGGTATAAACCCAAAGTAAAAGCATGCTGTTTATTAGGGCTTTTCTGAATTTTCATGCACAGTTACTACCAAAAACCCAGCTCTGCCCATTGTCAACGCATGCGGAACAAAAGCATAACCATCCCTTTGCAGCTAAATCTCAGGGGGTCCTAGGAAACAGGGGGTTCCTGGGGCACTGATAATACAGCTGCCTGCAGCAAAACGCCCACAAACTCACTCACTACGTGTGCCCAGGCCAGGCACCAGATCACAAGCCCAGGGACACCACCCTGTCCCATTTGCTTTTGAGACAAAACTGTTGAATTTCAGCAATGTTAATGCTCACTCTGTCTTGGAAGCTTGACTAACAGAAGGCTGGGGAGGCTTTGGGGAGGCTTTACCCCACAGCCTGCCCCAGGAATGCTGCGAGAGGATATTCCCCACCAAACAGCCTTTGAGACTGCAGCAGCAGATGCTGCTAGCAAGCAAGTGTCCCAGGTGGTTAAGACACAGATCAGAGCCCAAAAGACACAGCTGGTTCCTGCCTTGCTTTCGCAGGGTGTTTCTGACACAGCCTTGCAATGGGGGCTTCAAAATATTTCAAGAAGCTACCCTGAGGTCTCCGCATGGTGTTGCCCCAACTGTGTCAAGTGACTGCAAGAGGGGTGGCAGGGGCAGACCAGGGCAAGAGCCCAATTCTCTAGGACGTTGTTATGTGAATGCTTTGGGTGAAAAAGAATGGAACAAAACAAAGAAAATTAGATAATTTTGTCCAAAACTGAATTCTGACAGGGAAAAAAAGAAAACCCCTCACTGATTCAAGCTGAGACATTTGATTCAAATTCCTACTTTGTAGTTGAAGAAGCTTTGCTTGTTTTTGTCAACACTGACAAATAATCATGGCTTTTCTGTGTCAGAGTAATTTTGCATGAAAATCTTGATGGTTTTCATTTTAAAAGCTGAATTCAATTGAAAATTGGAGATTTCACATTTAAAGCATGAACTGCTTCAAAACAAAAAAAGCATTTTCTCCCCCTGAACTGCAGGAAATGTAGAATTGCCACCCAACAGGAAAAAGCACACTCCTCAACCTAAATCAAGATGAAAAGATTTTTATCTGGGGAAAAGAAATATAAAAAAAAAAAAAGTTCCCAGTTATATTGATTCAGAAACAAAGAAAACTTTCACTTAGGCATTTTTTTTTAAATCAAAATAAAGAAAACAACTGTATAGTCTCAAATGAAACTGTCTGGTTTCCATTCATCAAACCAACGCCCCCAAAATTAATTTTTAAGTCAGATGAACGCTGAGTTGCCTTTGTCCGCAGGCTCATAGTGCTTGCTCTGGGGAACATGGCTCAGGTGGGAAATTTCCCCACTGTCCCCCGGGGACCAGGCGCTTCCCCCGACCCCAGAGGTGGGTGTCCCTGGGGGCACCAAGCAGCCCAGCTGGCTGAAAGTGAAGCGAGAGAGGAGCAGCCTGCAGGACAGAGCCGGGAAATAGGTCAGGCTGAGTTACAGCTCCCTTAAGGCAACAGAAACCCTTTGGAAAATGTAATTTAAAGCTGAGCTTACACAAAACTAAATGACCTGAAAATTCAATAAACTGTTTCGGTTTTCAAGGCAGAAGTGGAGATGGAGAAAGGATAATCAGAGAAAGTTTTTGTTTTTTTTTTCCCCCCATGGAACCAAAATGACATTCCAGACCTGCAAGGATTTCCTCATGCAGTGTATTTTACACATAGGCCTCCCATATGTTTTTGTTCTGTACAAACTACGTTGTTGACTGAAGACCCTGCTAAAAGGTCTGCGTGACAAAAATGCCAACCCCTTGTCAATTACTCATCCTCAAAGGCTTACACTATAATACAGTTTAAGAGTCCCTGGCACTTTCCAATCCTGCCATGGCACTGAGCCACGAGGTCCAGGCCCAACGTGACAGACCTCTCCTCGAAGGCCAGCAGGTCTCCGGGCCTGCCCAACCTAGCAACCTCAAGCCTTGACACAATTTGGATGATGTGAAATGACAGAAAATACGGCCAGAAATAGGAGTCCAAGTTTCTTTCTGAGTTGAGAAGAAATCCCTGAGGGGGCTCCTATTGTTCAGGAAATTATTAGGAATCTCTGAGCCTATAAATCACAGAAGTGCTCAGAAGCTCTTCAGAGTGTTTGGTGGCGTAGCAATCTTTTGTGCTCATAAAATTTTACTATGAAGGAAAATGACTTTAGTTCATTAAACCCTCCTCCAGATCTTGCTGATTCCAAGTTGGCAAAGTGCTTTGCACATACCCCACAGTAGATACATAACTGGTTCCCACAAATCAGCACGTAAAGGCTCTGCAGTTCCTCCAGCAGGCTGACAGCAAACTTCAGAACAACTGAGAAGTGCCAAGTCATGGGCAGTCATCCTCCAGTATTGGGAGACATGTATTAGAGAAGGGGGAGAAGAGCAGCAGCCAGAGAGAAGAGGCGACCATTTCAGGCAGACGTCTGAAAGGCCAGCCCCGAGCTGCTTGGTGAGACTCACCTCACCTCTAAGCGATCCCGGTGTATCAGCACAGAGATTTACACAGCTCGCCACTGCCCCTGTCCACATATTTACAGAAAGTAATTAATAATGAGCAAAGGGACGAGCACCGGGTAGCACACAGCACAACAAAGGAACTGTGAACAAATTTACAAGTGAAAAATGAGAGCTCTTCACTTGCTTGCTCTGGCAGGCACGGTCCCAGACTCCATTTCCTACCTACACACCTATTTCCATGATGTTTGCAGCCTTTGCTGCCCTACACACTGGCTGTAGGAAGCTTGTCCACAATTTTCATCCAGCTTTCCCCCATTCAGATTAGAGCAAAGCACCCAACAAGTAAATTAAAAACATGAACGGGCACAGCTCCTGGGAACCAGCAGCAGCAAACTGCTCGCAGATGAAGGCAAATTGGCTTAAAAAGGTTTAGGACCTGAACGCTGGCAGCGCTGCCCTATGGAGGTCCCTAGCTGCTTGTTTCTTTCATTTATTTTTTTATTTTTAAAGGGACAAAATTAATAATTAAAGGTGACCTAATCAACAAACTAATTGAGTTATTTGGAATGATGAATTTGCTAAGTAAAACAGTTTGATTTTTTTAGTCTCTACATTTAAAGCTAAGTCAGGCAAAACCCAATGATATCTGCCTAGCTTTCTGTACACAGATGCTCAAATGTGGCAATAGGAGACTTCGTGCTCAACAGATTTCTGCTGATGTGTGGGATGGGCTCAGCCAGCAGCTGAGCACTCACCCAGATGCTCACTCCCCAGTCCAGAGAAAGGGGGGAAGGAACCAGAACAAAAGCAATAACCCCAGTAATAACCCTTCATAACCCCAGTCCAACCAGAACTCCCCCCATGCACCAAAGATGTGCACACACAGGTGATCACCCCGCTACACATCATCTCCATCCCCACTTGC